CAAATTTTTTCATGGTGTGTTTACAAAAATTATGGATTCTTTTATGATTTTTTTCCCTTAACGCTCTTATTTAAATTAGCAAATAAATATGCTACAGTCATAACTCATACTCCTGTCAATAAATTCTATTAGAAATTGTTTCTTTTCATCTAAAACAAAAAGAAAAATAACAAATTTCCATCCTACTCTCCCTCCCTCGCAATTCAATGTTGCCATTTTAATTGACACTCAAGTATTTTAACTATATAATTGAAACATAATGATGTCAATTTATATCTTTTGCTCATCAAACAATAAAACAAAAAAAACAGATGGCGAAAAATAACATTGAAATTGTATTTAAAGATGAGCAGAAAAAAAAAAAACAAAAATTTAAAAAAAATTACAAAAAATATAATAAGGACACACTTAGCTGCTTTTCAATCTCTTTTGTACAGTTTTTGTGCTTTATACATTTAAGATTTCTGGCGATTTGTAAGTTTTTTTTTTGTTATCATTTTGTCAAAATCATCAAAGAGATTTTATCAACAACGTTTCTTAACAATGTGTAGCAATAGTAATAGTTTAGCACCGACAGACGGACACTAAAACATTGAAACTTATTTTTTCTTTGGTGTTTTAACTAAAGAATGCTAAATAAACATTTTAAATTTGTAACAGTAGACAAACGCCAGCCAGTGTCCATTTGCCAGCCTTTTCCTTGGTTTTCAAATTAAATGTCCAAACAAAAGTGGGACCACGTTGTCTGCAAAAAAAAAGTACCAAAAACAAAAAAAAAAAAAGTATTAGAAAATTATAATGGTGGTAGGAGAAGTAAAAAAGAGTAGAAAACATTTAAATGGCATGTTTGTTTGAATTGAGTATTAAGAGTTGCTAAAAAAAAATGTCTAAAGTAAATAGAACTGATGGTTGCTAGTAGATTAAAAACTATAAAAATGTGTTTTTAGACAAAAGTTGTAGAAAAAAATATAAAAAGGAATTCTATAAAGTGTTGTAGCCAATTGGCCAATCATTCAAAAATTTTCACACAAACATATCAATACATTGTTGAAATGTTTTGAGCTACATTTAAAAAAAATAGGTCTACTTGGTTGTGGAAGGTCTTGGCGAATTGATGATTCTTAAGACAATTCTATTTTTTAGATATTGGTTAAAAGTTGAGCTACTTAAGCAATTAGGAATCAGATAAGAACATTTATTAGGAATCAGATAAGTAAAAATTTTACCTATTTTCTAAAGAAACCCTGAAGAGTTATTTTTTGGACTGATTTAAAGTTTCTTAAAATCTTTGTAGGGTTTTACTAAACAAGAATTATACCTTTCTCCTTTTCCCCAATATTTTCTCAACTTTTCCTTTCTGTTTTCTTTTAGAAACACACACACATTCACCACTCTACCTCTAGTTGTCCCAATTAATAATGCCAGACAATACTAAATAGATGGATACTCCTACTATCTACCCATCAGAAAAGGAGAAATTGGATGATAACAAAATGATTATTTTTTCACAATATGATGTGTGTAACTAAATGCAGACACGGAGACAGATATAAATGTGGACATATTCCAAAGTACTACGAGTGAGTATGTTATTCTTTATATTCTTTTAGATTTTTTTTTATATTTCGAATAGTGTTTAAGGGCATTTGTGTGTATGTAGTTATTAAGAAACAAATTGGCGTCATGTTAAATGAAAAAAAAGGCAAAAAGATGATAAAAAAGAAACACTTGAGCTATTTTTTGTGGTATTATAGGGTGACCAGCTGCAATTCAGATAAAAGTAGATATAGTAGACAATAATTACTTAAAAAAATTTAAGGGAATTTCGGTAGTTGGCCTTATACTATATGAATCGCTACTCTTTTTATAGAACGATCTACATAAAATTTGACGCCGAAGCTTCGCCCATGTCCATCGGAGCAGCTGATTCCGAGGAGCCATGTTCGATGGTTTTTAGTTCCTATTGTATTTTTTTGGTTTTTAATATTTTTCAAAGTATCCGTAACATAGATTTTTAATAATGGAGAAGGATAAATAACATCATATAGCAGACTAGAGTTAGGCAACTAATACAACCGGACTATGGTCCGGAGGCCACCGTTAAAAAACACACTGACGTAGTACCATTCATTCCATGGTTACGGTACTGATGACAACCGAGAATTATGGGTTTTTATCGAGCGTCCACTCTAGATCCGCCATGTTTAGCATATTGAGCAGAGATACCTCGTGCAGGATGTGGCTTGTTACCACACATAATTGGTCATTTGGATATGAAGAGGCATTAACAGATTTGCTTTATTGTGCATTTAAACCCCTGCAGCACTTGCACAAGTGGTTGGGTCAATTATGGACCGATTCTCAGAAAATTTGACAGAGAAATTTTAAATCCTATAAAAACAGTTTGAGTCAAATTTCACCGATATACGTGTTTTTTAAGCCAGTTGTGGGCGTTATTGTCATTTTCTGAAAAGAACCTTACCTGGGGGTACTGTATGGACCGATCCTCATAAAAATTGTTAGAGAGATTTTGGTGTGTATAAAACTTAATTGTGTGGAATTTCATAGCTGCATTAGTATTTATAAGTCAGTTATATTCTGAAGCGGTCCTTATATAGGGAGGGGGGTGTATATAGGGTCAATTATAGACCGATCTTTAGAAAATTTGGTAGATTTCAATTCCAATAAGACTTGTCTTTGTCCAATTTCTTCGCTACATTCACATTTGTAAGCCAGTAATGGCCGTTAAAATCCTTTTGCTGAATAGAACCTTATATAAAAGGTAGGGAAATTTTTGGGCCGATCCTCATAAAATGTTTTCCTATAAAACTTATTTATGTCGAATTTCTTCGCTATACATGCTTTTTTAAGCCAGTTACGAGCGTTATAGCAATTTTCTGAAAAGGTCCGTATATGGGGGATAGGTGAAATCGTGAACCGATATTACCTATTTTTTAATAACAAAACGACTACACAATATTTTAAAAAAATTTCAGCTCTTTAGCTCATTTCATTTGCACTATATCGTGTTTTTTACAAACAGATAGACGGATGGACATGTCTAAATGTATATACTTTTATTGATCTTAAACCAATATTTCGATATTTTACATACAAAATCACTATCATTTCATTAGAAAACACTTTTTATTATTCTGATTTTATAATTCAGTTGCTAACAGTTATTTATAAGTCTGGTCCCTCCTATTTAAATAACTTAAATTCATTTAAGTTTTTTTTTTTCGTTCACATTCTTGGGTGGTTTTGTAAATTGTTTTAAAAGGGACAATGCAAAGTGAAAACAAAAAAAATAAAATACGAATATTTTTTTGGATCTTTTTTAAACATTTATGAAAACCTAGAATCATCTTCGTCTCATAAGGAGTGTTTTAAATGTGACATTTATTTGAAAAGGGAACCGTTTTTTTGTTGTTGGTTTTGTTGTTAAATTATAATAAGAAACTATTTTTATGAGATAATTTAAAAATACACTTAATTTTTTTTTTTTTACAATTTACAATTTTTTTTTTGTCATAATGGGGTGTGAAAATAGACTGTTAGTGAGAGACTGCTTAAAAAAGTTAGAGTTTGTTAAGTGTTATAAAGATAATTTTTAAATTATTCTAAAATTAGATTAAATTAAGTGACAAAGAAATCATGTATATAATATACATCAAGTATTTTTGGGAAAAATATTGCCAGCAAATTCTGTTTAAGGTATTCCCAGCTAATCAAGAACTTACTTTTCAACGACTACTACATATCGCCTGCATTACTTAGAAGGAGTTTAGTAATGATTTACATATATCTATATACGTAAGTACTTACTTTTAAGCTCTAACATTTTGTTTTAAAATGTTGTGTTTTATAAAAACGAACAAAATACTTTTAAAACAAACTATTTATTTAACTCCTTATTTGCTGTCGATCGTAGTAAGTACTTAAATAACTCCCTACTTGTTAGCGAGCATGGTAAGTATTTGCTTACAATGTCATCATCATTTAACATGATGATAACATTTAATTTAAATGGTTTATAAAATAAAATTTCAATGTGAAATTTGATTTATAAACTGTTTATAAAATAAAAATTTTGTAATGAATATGGTCTTTAATAAATTTTTCTTAATTGATAATATTTCATTGATATACCCTTTAAAGTTTTATAATACCACTTAAATATTTAAGCAAATTGCATTTGTGTTCAAACTTCTATTTAACATTCAATTAAATTTCATTTAATTTCTATTGATTTAACGCCCCTTTAACAAATCGATTTGCTTTATTTATTTCAAATATTTAAATTTCTCAAACACTTAAAAAACTTGTAATTACATTTTTCCCCGTCTGCCATAAAATTAAATTGTGTGTTAAATTTGCACATACGAACGAACATATTTCATGGATATATTTTAACTTCCTGCTGCGTAAAGGAATAAATAAGTGAAACTCCTAAAAAATGGCATTTTATTTTGAATTTATGTATGTATATGTGAACAAAGCTTTGTGTTTAGTTTAATCTACATATGTGTTAAGAAGAGTGAGAAATTTAACGGAAGCGTTAAAAGTATTTTGTTAGAAAACAATTTGGTAGATACAAAAAAAAAAATCGCATTAGATATTTTTTGGATCGATAGGAATATGGATAATACTTAAATGTTGTAACAAGTTGCTTAAGTAACTTAATTACACCCAGTAATGTTTAAATAAAACTATATTCTTTAAATCTTTAAAATATATCCATTTATTTTCGTTTCTTTAAAACAAGTAAAACCACTCGTATTCTAAAAACAAACTCACACAACTTCTCCATTCTTCACTCAAGTTTCGGAAAAGTTTTCAAGGAATCTTTATCTTAAAACGTAAAATAACAATCAATGCGAAACCATAACAAATCGATCATAGTAAATGTTTTTCTTTAATTGAAATTTGCCAGGAAAATAGTTGTATAAGAAACACAAACACAAATACATGGGTAAAAGAGAACTAAAATGTATCATCAAATGGCAACCATTATTGTCACAGTAAATGTTTCAAAGATGACAAAATGTAAAAAGCAACACCCAGTAACGATAACAAATTCGATTGTGGTAAAATAACAAAAACAACTTACAACATTTACATGGCACCTAAAAGATAGAAAAAACGTTAAAAAGAGACAGACAATAGTCGTTGGTAGGGCGAATAATAAAATTTGTAAGCTTCGAATAGAGTAGATTTTTACACCAAAATACATTGCCATACAATTGGTAGACCGATAAACTTTACTACCAGCTATTTTGTTCTGGCTGGCAGCCATCGATATAAAAAACAGCCTGCTTTGGCACAAAGTCTGCCATTCATTTAGTCACGACAGTCAATCAATCAATCCATCAAACCCACAGCCAACAAAAACACACATAGCAGCACAGTACACCACCACTGCCATCACCATCATCATCAGTAACAACAACAACATTGCCAGCAATTCATTCCATTCAACCGTAGAAACAAGAATCAAACTTATACATACTCACTTAGGCAGTCACTCACTCACTTCTGTGACTACACCGAGACCCAGGTTGTGTGACAGCCTTGAAAAGTGTCTCTTTAGTTTGCATAGTTGTATGGTACACGGGCAGAAAACAGAACTTAAAACTTATCCAGTCACTCGTTTGTCCACTCATCTATCCCGAAATTAAAAAAAGTAAAAAAACCCAGAACTGCTGAACAGTTAGTCGTTAACTAGATGGATAGATTGAAAAGACTGTTGACAAACTCTAAACACATTGTGGAAAAACTGTGAACTGGCTTGGTTGGCTGTTTAAAAAAAACTGTTGCGAATTGTTTGGAGTTCTAAAAAAAGAATAACATCCACACATACAACAATTTTAAAAGGTTTCCAATGCAAATTTGTACAAATAATTGATGTTATAATAATATACCTACAAACTGCACAGTGGGGAGGAACACTTTTTTTGCGACAAATACTTTCTATAAAAAATTTTCTATAGAAAGAAAACATTTTACAATATTTCTATTAATAGAAAATTTATCAAAAATTTTCGAGAAATTTTCTTTTTATAGTAAATTTTTGAGAAATTTTCGTTTTAGAGAAAATTTTTGAAAAATTTTCATTTTATAGAAAATTTTCGAGAAATTATCCTTTTATAGAAAATTTTCGAGAAATATCCTTTTTATAGAATAAATGATAAATTTTCCTTTATTTTTGGGAAATTATCTGTTTATAGAAAATTTTCGAGAAATTATCTGTTTATAGAAAATTTTCGAGAAATGTTCTTTTTATAGAAAATTTTCGAGAAATTTTCTTTTTATAGAAAATTTTCAAGAAATTTTCTTTTAACAGAAAATTTTCGGAAAATTTTTTTTAAAGAAAATTTTCTTTTTATAGAAAATGTTCGATAAATTTCCTTTTTATAGAAAATGTTCGATAAATTTGCCTTTTTAATAGAAAATATTCGATATATTTTCCTTTCTAATAGAAAATGTTCGATAAATTTTCCTTTTTTGTGGAAAATTTTCGATAAATTTTCCTTTTTAGTGGAAGATTTTCGATAAATTTTCCTTTTTAGTGGAAAATTTTCGATAAATTTTCCTTTTTATAGAAAATTTTCGATAAATTTTCCATTTTATGGAAAATTTTCTATAAATTTCCCATTTTATGGAAAATTTTCTATAAATTTCCCTTTTTTATGGAAAATTTTCGATAAATTTCCCTTTTTTATAGAAAATTTTCGATAAAGTTTCCATTTTTTTATGAAAATTTCCGATTATTTTTTTTTTATAGAAAATATGCGATAAATTTTCTTTTTATAGTAAATTTTCGATAAATTTTCTTTTTATAGTAAATTTTCGATAAATTTTCTTTTTATAGTAAATTTTCGATAAATTTTCTTTTCATAATAATTTTCAATAAATTTTCTTTTTATAGTAAATTTCCGATAAATTTTCTTTTTATAGTAAATTTTCGATAAATTTTCTTTTTATAGTAAATTTTCGATAAATTTTCTTTTTATAGTAAATTTTCGATAATTTTTTTTTATAGTAAATTTTCGATAAATTTTCTTTTTATAGTAAATTTTCGATAAATTTTCTTTTTATAGTAAATTTTCGATAAATTTTCTTTTTATAGTAAATTTTCGATAATTTCTTTATAGTAATTTTCGATAAATTTCTTTTATAGTAAATTTTCCATAAATTTTCTTTTTATAGTAAATTTTCGATAAATTTTCTTTTTATAGTAAATTTTCGATAAATTTTCTTTTTATAGTAAATTTTCGATAAATTTTCTTTTATAGCAAATTTTCGAAAAATATTCTTTTTATAGTAAATTTTCGATAATTCATCGATAATTTATCTTTTAATCCCAGCGAAAAACGATCTTATATTATTATATATCGATCATATATGAATCATATGTGAACCATATATATTCATATATGTTCATATCCGAAAAATGCCGATATATGATCATGTCAAATATGGACACATATATGGAATAATATATGAAAAAATTTTCTTATATGGATATGTATGGAAATATATGAATATATATGAAAACATATGAAAATATATGGAGATTATGCCCAATTCCGCCAATTTTCGGATATGAACATATATGAAAATATATGCTTCATAAATGAATCCATATATGATCCATTCATATTTTTTTTTAGCTGGGAAAGTAAATTTTTTTTTGCAAATTTTCGAAAAAAAATTCTATCGTAAATTTTTAATAAATTATCTTTTTTTATTGTTTTCTTTTTATCCTAAATTTTCCTAATATAGGTTTTCATTTTATAGTCAATTTTTTCATAAATTTTTTCCCCCATTTTATTCCCACTGTACTCACAGTTTCACATATAAAGTTTTCGTCGATGATGACAGTGGCAAGGTGGCAAATGGTGGCAGAAACTAACAACTGTGATGTGTCAATAGAAAAAGAATAGAATTTCTGTTCATCATTCGCCATGAATATTTAAAGTTCTACTTTTTGTATTTTGTGTCTGTGTTTATTGCAATTTATTGTTTGTATCCGCAAACAATTATTTATAAGATGCTGTGCAATTTCCATTAGTGTCCATTTATTTGGCAATTTTATTTTTTTTGGCTTTTTTGCTAAATTAAGTTTTCGTGAGGAGGATTTTAAAATTTGTTTAACTAGACTTAGATTTAAATAGTTGATTTCCAACACAGAAAGCTAAAAAATCCTTAAATTTAAGACATGAAGTTATAAACTTACCTAATTTTGTATACGGGACACTCATAGACATTCTTGACATCCTGTTTGTCCCTTTGAACTGCTTTAACGAAGATGACCGGCATGGCTGGGAACAATTCTTTTAGATAAGCATCTGCTATGGTATTCATGGTCATATCCCAGCGGGCACCTTCCATATACAAACCATTTATATAAGCACCCTCACGGGGAGCGGAGCTAAAAGGAAACAAATAATTAAAATCGATTTAAGTTATAGTTTTCCTTTAACTCACGTTATCTCCTCCTTAAATTTCTTGGTCACATCTGTATTCAAGCACATACGATCCAATGGCCATTCATTTTTTCGTGCCGTCTGTTGCATAATGGCCGTAAGAAAACTTTGAGGATTAAAGAAACCTCCTAACCAAGCTGATGAAGGTAAACGAAAATCTGCCACCCAACCCTCCAATTCACGTAAACGTAATTGTAAATCGGCAAACCAAGACTGCAAACCTAAGGTACTGGGATATGCCAATTTAGTCCAAGATTCTGGTACTTGATCCATAAATAAGGACTGCATTAACTGTTCCATTATAGAGGATATTGTAAGTTCGCCCTTCAAACCCAATTCCAATTCGTGCAAAGATCTTTTAAGTTCAGCCATTAAAATATTCATGCGTTCGCACTCCTGGAAAGCTACCAAGATATAGGGATTACGATCCTCCACTCGAGACATCAGTTCGGCTATGTTAAAGGGTGAGGGTATTTTATCGATAAGATCTTCTAACATACTTTTCACCACATCTTCCTGGGACTGAGCTTCTCCTCCCGTATCCGAGGTGCTGGCTAAACGTGGTTGCAATTCGAATACCACCCTAAACATACGTTCCGATACCGTGGTCAAGAAACCAATTTCAGCATTTAAATGCAAACCATATAAATTTGGACTTTCAGGAGGTAGATTTTCATCTATATACTCATGATAACCGGCATATTTTAAAATACCCGGAGCTGGAAAACCAGGACAAAATTCCAATTCACCATCTATCAACTCAGGCTGCATAAATTCTTCCAAATAAGTGCGACACAAACGTCTATCACGATCATCGGTGATATGGCCACCATACATAATTTCCCCAAATAGGTAACGTAAATCCTCCCAAGGAACTCGGCTATTGGCCTCTAAATAATTATACAAAACATAAACCGATATTGTAAGGTCGCCCACATTAAAGGGATAAACACGATTCCAACCCTGAGCGCCAAATTTACGGCGTTCTGCTACCACAGCATGGAAATAGCAAAGGGAAAATAAGATGGCTTTGAATTCCGTTTCTTTGGAACACATTTCCAAAGTTTCATCACTAAAATTGTCCAAGGCTTTGTGGATATTAGCCTGCATACCAGTAGGCGGTTCATTGGTGATCTTAATGGCTGATTCCAAAATACCCTGGGGTAGTATATGATAGGCGGGATCTCCTGCCGGTTCAGCACTTAGGAATAAACGATAATTGGGATTAACATCGATCAGAGAAGCTTCCATTTTCTTTTCCAAAGTAGAAAGCCATCGAGCTACCAAGTGTATATTCTGCAAAATCACCCAATGACCCTGCTGAGAAGCGGTTTCTATAGCTTTTTCAGCCACCACTTCCTGACCCTGACCCAAGGATACACTATGGAAATTTTCATGATCTCCATGAAAACCCAAAGTTTTACCTAATTTTTCCACATCTTTCAAAGGATCCACACCAGGAGATAATACAAAGAACATATGAGTCTCAGCACTAGATTCTTCAAAGGTTTTCGAAAATTCTATCGAACGCGCTTCTATATATTTGGTACCCAGTTTTTCTTCTATGAACACCCTCATGGAGTAGGACATGCGATCAGGTCTGATGCAGCGCATTATACACAATCTCTGTATAGCTGTTTTGCCTTTCCATTCACCAGGGAATTTTTCTTTTTCCGGGCACTCAGAATCTATAAATTTCTTCCAACGTTTATGTGAACCTTCAATATCTTTATCCAAACCTCTGAATGCGGAGAAATTACTTAAAGCCTTAATACCACCCCAACCAATATTGGTGATGAAGGGAAGACTGGAGCTAACATTACCCATATAGGGGAAACGCAGCAAAAAGTCTAGTTCCAAAGGCTCTACCTCGCCAGCATTAATAAGAATTTGTAAAGTCAGTTGAGTTAAGAATATTAATTTGTCTGCTTCAAACAAACCCCGGGAAGTGTACATAAAACTGCAGAATGTTATGGAATCTATAAGGTTTTCCACACGCTCCTTAAGCTTTTCAGAGGGTACGGCTTTTATTATAGCATTGCTAAATACTACAGTAAAAGCTTTCAAGGAGAATTGATAAATGGGATTAATTTTGAACAGATCATTAAGTATAAAGTAGATAATGGAAGCCCTTTCCGAGGCAGGACGATAGGCTTCACGGGCAGTATCAATTTGCACAGCTGTAATCTTGGCTTCAGCCACCTTTACCTCTATTTCATCGGCAGTCTTCTTAGTTTTTTCCAAATTCATGACCAGTGAGACATCTTCCAACACATTCTCGCCGGCTGAAGAAAGTCGCTGCAAAAGATCATCTTCCAGGAATTTTAAAGTAATTTTAAAATGATTTTGTTGTTGTGTCAGTTTAGTACGCAAGATCTCTAAATCGGGTCTTTCAGCTTTCACCACTTCAGCTAGTAATTGATCCTCTAAACCATCTCGGGTAACAGTGAAATTAATGAGAGTAGTTTGGGCTTGCATTTCTGGTTTATAATGGGGATTGGCCAGTTTGGTGTGTAGTATTAAACGAAATTTGGGATTAAAATCTACTTCTTTGTCACCCATCTTCAAGCAGGTGCCTTTTTTGATAAGTTGACGTCCTAGCAGGGGATTTAGCACAGCATCAATGTTTTCACCTATATTTTCCAGCAGTAAAACATTGCCATTGCTAACCGCCTTTTCGATTTGTTCCATGTATCCTTTCTGCGTTAGACGCAATACCACTATGTTGGAACTGTATTTCTGTTTAACCCATTTAATGCCTTGCCTACAAGTAAGTGTATGTTAGATATTTTTTGCAAATATTTAGGTTTAATTAAATCTTACAATTGGGGATCTATCATTAAAGGATAGCGTTCCGAGTGTACTAATATAGCAGCATTTTCGGCTGACATACGATCACTAGGCAAACCTTGATTATTCCATTCGGCAATTTGGGCATCATCACAAATCATTTCAAAGGGATCACCCCCCTCACTGGAAGGGATTTTGGGCTAAATTAAAAAGAATATTAATAAAAATTTTTCAAATTTCAATTTTAAAGTAAAACTAACATCGCAAGCTTTAAAGGCAGGAATCCACATTTTCGTTTGCAGCTCTACACGATAGGCCCGAGTAAAACAGCCTACATAGGATATAAAACAGGCTATAAGAAGTATATCTCCCGGCATGGTAACCTGACTATGCTGTAGACTAAAAAGCAAATAGCCTTCTATATAATTTTTTACTTTTTGATATGACAAAATTTACCTTTTCACCGACTCTGTCCATCTAATTTTTTCCGAGGCTAAGCCACCTATCAAACGATTGGCTAAATCAATAGTAAAGGCGGTCTTATCAGCCTCATCTTGGCATTTTTGCTTTTTCGCCAAAGCTTCATCGTATGCCGTTTGCAAAACATTCAACTGTTCCTCCAATTCATTAAGACGATTATTTAAAGCTGTTAGCTTATCCCTGGCATCTTTCAACTCCTGCTCCGCCTCCACTAAGGCCCTTTCTTTGGGCTCTACCACCAAATAAACTTCATAAAATTTATTGATATTTATAACCCAAGAGCATAAACCTGCTGCAGCAGCAGATTTAGCTAAAATGGTATCAGGATTAAATTCTGGATCAGCCAGATAGGGTTGTAAAGCTTTGATAACATCCGGGTGTATATGTTTTTTATCATAGTTAACCAAACTATCTAAAAATTTGTCCACATTACCCATAACAACACGACAAGCCTTCCAGCTGCGATCTTTGGGTATTTTACCTTTGGGGGCAAATAAAACTAATACTGCTGAACAGACATTAACCACGGCGTCGGGGGGAGAACCAAAGGATTTCAGCTCAGTCAAATTGTTTTTGTTTAAGGTATTCAAAGCTTCTTGGGCAGCTAAAAGAGCTGGTTGGGCTTTGCGAAAATCTTCTTCACACAATTTGGCCTTGGCGGTAACATCTTCCTCAATTTGACGCACATTTTTCTCTTCTTTGGAAGCAAAAGCTCTTTCTTTGGAGACTTTCTCATTTTCAAAACTCACTACTTTTATGAGATTGTCGGCTTCGTCATTTTTGATCTTTAGCTCTACTTCTTGGACCTTTAAGACTTCCTGCAAACCATCCACTTCTGTGGAACAGCTGGCCAATTTAATAAGACCATTTTCCAATCTCTGGCGTCTATCTAAATTGGCTTTAACTTTTTCGGTGAGTAATTTGGTGTATAAACTCACTAGCTCCAAGAAAGATTTGGGAGTTGTGTAATTATAACGCTTATCATTAAGCAAATACACCTTGGAAATATCATTGACAGTTTTGTGAACATAAGCCATGAAGCGCGATACCGGATGACCCAAAGACTTGGGCAAAACTTCTATTTCAGATAAGAAACGGTAAGATACTGACTCCAAAGCTTCCTGAGGCCACTCATGGAACCAATCTATGGTGGTGCAATTGACTAAAGAAGGAAAATTACGAGCTCTTACCCTAAGAGTATTACCCACCGGAGAAAAACAGAGTACAACTTTCAAAAGACCACGAACTTTTTCTATGAAATACTTCCAACAATTCTCTCTATTATCCATTATACCCAGCTGTTTAACCTCATTGCGCACAGCATTAACCAGATTCTCAATTTCATCATCGGGAAAAAGTTCATGTATATCGCCCGAAGCTAACATATCATTAACTAAAACCAAAAATTGTTCCTTAGCTACCTCGGCATCGGTCATGAGAAAACAACATGGTGAACTTTTAACACCACACTTAACGTAGAGAGTGGCAATGTTGGCTTTTAAATCATTAATACTGTAATCTTTGGTCAATTGGATTTGGAACACATCCAAAGAGGAGATGAAGGCAGCCAATCTAGTTAAAGATTGTTTGCCCGAGCCACCCACACCAATAAGAAGGGCATAACCTCGGGAAGATTCTACAATTCGACTTATGCGACAAACATGACACATGGCATCATCGAAGAGCACCAAATTCATGGCTCCCACAAAATCATTATAACGTTCTTGGGCCTCCTCCAGTAATTTGTGTAAACGTTCCCAATCGCTAATGGGCATATATTTGTTTTCCGCTAGACCCAAGGCAAAATGGCAATAGATATGGGGTTTGCCAAATACTACTTCTTCGCTATAGCCCTCTATGCCTTTGCGCACTGCCTCGGCTATGATTTTGCCAAAACTATTGATGTCAGTTTGATCCACCAACTTATCGCCATAGACACGATTGCACTCATGGACCCATAAGCGTAAAAGCATATTAGGATTGGGACAAGTTTTGAAATTAGCATACAGCATGCCCTGAAAAAATAAGTAAGATGATGGGGTCCAACTACCTTAGAAGAAGACTTACCGTAAAAATATTGGCTATATCACGTAAATTGAAATTGTAGTGGAACTTCACAGCAGTGGGCAAAAATGAGGCGGCGACCTTTTGATGCAGGTTAATAGCAGTTTGTACCAAAGGCTCACAAAGATTTATGACCGACTTGTCGAACTTGTGGGTGGGATTTTTTAAATGTTGGGATAAAATAGAGTTGAGAATATGAAATAAAGCATCAGCACTTGGAACACTAAAGAAATGGAAATTAAATTTAGGAAATTAACTATAAAGTTTTGAACTCAAAATAAAACCTACTTGACAGCAAAAGAACAGAAATGTCTCTGCAATCTGGGATCTATGGTAAAGGAACCTGCCGAGGGATTCATGCAAGATACAAACTGACAATTGTGTATATCCCTTAAGGTCATCTTAACACGATCATACCAATGGCGATAGTCCATAAATTGCCTAATGAGCGTATGAGGCTGTACCGTGCCATATTTATCCACTTCGGGCATATTCATATCATCCACAAAATACAACATTTTTTTATTACCCTGAGGACCATAATTGCGTCCCGCCTTTTTTTCCAAAGGTTTCTCCAATATATTTTGCAACATTTCCGAGGTAGTGTAGAAATTAAATGGGACATTGGTTACAGCATATTTCTCGGTGGGCAAAGAGTTCAGTTTCAAATTCATTATAATAGTTTTACCCGAACCTGGTGGACCGATTAACATGGTGGGGTAATTGTCCCCTATTAAAACATCCATAAAATAACTAAGACGTGTAGTTTCAGAGGTATGCACTAAATTGGATTGCAAAGGTATATCAGGATCTAGCTCAAAACTAGGCACCAAATCGGTCCAGGGTCTAAATTTTTTGGTTTCATGATCCACATAAAAGGAGAATATATTACCGGTGCCAGGAAATTTTACCGTTTTGAATTCATTAACAAACCATTTGCTAAACTCATTGCGCCAGTCAATGATTTGATCTTGAAACAAAGTGGAACCAAAACCCCAAACTATGGAGAAAACAAAATAGATTTCATACCATTCTTTGGGACAATCAGCGGGTACATTTTGTGGCGTTAACAGGCTGTTAAGCAGGAAACAGGTCATTTGCAACATGGCTATATCAGCTATGGGGGTGATTTTCTTTAAACGTGCTTTAAACACCTCCAACATGGGAGGCACATACTTATCGAACAAAACATGTAGAGTGGCTATTTCGGCTTGATTGGTGCGTGTATTTAGCCAGGATAGTATGAAAGGAGTCCAGCCTAAATCTTGGGGATTTATATACAAAATACCTGCCCTAGAAACAGTGGCTGGGGTGGCTGTTTTCAAATTGGCTATTTCGAATAGCAAACGCATTTCTTTGGTTAAAGCTATGCGTTCATTGCTAGCCAATGTCAACACCTTATTATCATCCATTACCGTGTTTAAGCTCTCTATCCACATGGGATCTATATCACCATCCAATACTATCCATTTGGGACCCGAGCCACCCAAATTCGCCTGATCACGCATTATAATGGAAAACAAACCATCTTTCCATTCCCGGGTGGCGGGATTAACAATACCAAACAGTTCATCATTGGTAACAGCTTTGGGATTTAAATCATTGTAGTGAGGTTTGCGCTTTAAATTGGCATAGGTTTTGTTGAGCGTCTTCCAGACCTCTGATTTGCCTGTGCCAGCAAAACCTATTATAAAGACAGAATGACGCACGGCAAACAGTTCTTTTAGTTGAACTATTTTCAATATAAAACCATCATCCGGCTGCAGCTTTAAATCTATGGCAGACCTTTTAACTACAGCCTCAAATTCCAAATCACGTTTGCGTGGCACATCCAAAGCGGGAAATAGGTCACCTATTAAACCCATAAATACCGGCACATCATCTGTTACAATTTTGGGGGTATTGAAATCACGCAAAGCTCTCATTAAGACTTGATCTTCAGGCCTTTGACGGTCATCACGCTGCAAAAGAAAATAGCAGAAAATTGGGTTAATAAAAAGGAAGACAAAAAATGTTTTTTGACTTTAGCGTGTTAAGCAAACATCACGCATTCAAACTTGCAACTTCAATCCTGACCTTTGGCAAAAAACGAAATGGAAAGCTAAGAAGGTGTAAAGGAAACGAAGTTAAATGCCAGGCAATGGTTAGCAGCTGCATGCACATATCGAGGGACTTTATACAATATCTATCTCCCGTTATCAATTGAATATAGTCCCTCAAAATGTGGTTAATTGAATTCAGTTTAAAATTTAGCCTACAACAAATTCTGATTGACCTAATTAAGCAAACCTAGGAAAATTGTCCTTGTTCGACTGAAATCTTATCTTTTTATTTCCTGGAATCCATTTCACATTGAGAGGAATTCAAACCAAATGCATTGCTTTGGCACATGTAAGTTTTCGTTGGAAATGCTGGTGCAGTCTTTTGTGGTTGACGGTTTGGGATTATATATACTTACTTCTCTACTCATATCTAAGTGCAGGAAGTAATTTTTCCTGCTTTTCTGCGTTGTACGTGTTTGATGATAAAAATGCAGGCATCAAATCTACATGTACATATGAACAAAAACTACATGCTTCATGTATTCACTCGTACGTACATTCATACGTGTACTTTAAACTAAGAGTGGTATTTATGAAGTCATATTGTTGGAAAATAAAAGAAAAATTAAAAAAAAAAAAAAAAAAAAAAAATACGGTACGGGATATAATAGAATTAGAGTAAGGATTTAAGTAAACAGAGATATGTGTATAAAGGAAAATATGCAATACGCACATATGAATAACAGAATTTCCAGATAAATCCCAGTAGGGTAAAGATTTTTTGAATTTGTTCAAGAGTTGCTAAGACATTCTTTTCTAACTAAATACTATTGTTTGCAAGTTAAATTAGCTGTGATCCATAAATAATAAAACCGATGTCCTATTTACATATATACATACATATGTACGTAGATGCAAGAGTTAACTGTTTCTCATGACTATTTCCTAACCAAACTCGTTTGGACCTTTGTATACCTTTATCAAACTAACCAGTTCTTAACAGTAAAATGTTGTTTATTTCGAATTATGAAAGCGATGTTTTATTCCATAAAAAAATACATTCTATTGTACATCGAGTAAAGAGGTAGAGGTAAAGAGGTAGAGAATTTCCTTCTCAATTATTCCTACAAGGTTGATTTATACAAATATAACTAGAGTCATCCCACAACAATTAAACATATACACTTACCTTCAATGACCCAGCCACCACCAACACTGACTTCACAGCACGTAAACCCCAATCGTAATGGTCCTGTTTGGACAACAATTCTTTGCACAACTCATAAAGTGCAATGAATTTGCGAGCTAGTAAACGTGCCTCCTGGAAACCTTCACCCACCAACATTATTTCACTGATTAACATAAAGTCAGGCACCACCATGGCACAAGGTCGATATAACGCTTTTAAATTTTCCGGCAATTCAGCACGTCCAGCATAGCCTGGATTCATTGTTATAAACATACCGACAGTGGCACGTAGCGTAATAATTTCACCGAGAAAATTAAAAATAAGTTTCTTAGCTTTAATGGCATCTTGTATGCATTTAACTTGGACGGCGACCACAGATAAAACTTCCACTGAAATGCGATTGAATTCATCGAAACAACCCCAGGCACCAGTTTGGGCCAGGCCTTTATGTATATCGCCCACGGACTTGTAGTCCATTTGTTCGGAACAATTGAAAACATAAACCATAATGCCCAAAGCTCTGCCTAAATCTTTTGTAGTTTCAGTTTTGCCGGTTCCTGCTGGACCAGCTGGAGCTCCACCCATTCTCAAATGTAAGGACTGGGTGAGAGTGATGTAACAGCGATCTGTTAGTGGGGTAATAACTAAACGTGAAGTATTACCCAGATATTCATAGTCATATTGAAACTGGGCATCACATATATTGGCAAAACAGTCATCGAATTTGGTATCCCAGCGATGTCTTAACTGCGACTGCCATTGGAAAGCAGAAGCCATTTCCACTTTGGAGGATATGATCTTAGATACCACATCACGACTATGAACATCTATGGTACAAATCGTACACACTTTGACACGATCCGAGGCAGATAAATCACCCAGCAACAGGTTTATCAAGTGATTTAACTGCGTTACCTGTTTTTTGTTATAATCCTTGAGAGCATTTTCATAACGTTGTTGCACCTTGGCAAATGCATCATTTGTCTCCGAGGTCCAGCAAATTTGTGTGGTAACCAAAGCCGGCTGGGCGGGCCAATCAAATACCCATACATGTCGGGGTTTTTCTTCGTAGGCTAAAACTGCCCTTCTTAATTGATCCCTTAAGGTTTCACGCATTTTATCGGTGACACGATTAAGCCAAACTTCCACCTTGCCACTGCAATCACAGTTTTCTAAAAACGGTATATATTCCTCATGTTCTTTGGCCACCATGCCAGAAGCTAATTTGCTATTGGGTAAAAGCCTAAGATTGCCCAATGAATCATATAGTTTCGTTAAATGTTTGCTTATCATCTGGGGATTATTGCCATTGGAGAGAATATCCAACAAATCAGCAGATGAGACAAAATAGAAACGCGGATAAGCCAAACGTTTGGTCTCCAAATAGTCATTTAAAGCTTTCTCACAGAGAAGTAAAAGTTTAGCCAGGTTTTCCAAAGTTTCGTATAGTCTACTACCCGGTCTATTGGTGGCTCTGACCACATTCTTGTCGGCATTCATTTGTATCAAAAGATTTTTAAATTCCTTATCAACAGTGTCAAATCTCTTGGAGTCCTCTGGCAATTGAGAGCGTATATCTTCGGATCCAATAAAAATACTCTCCAAATAAACCCATTTACGCTGAACCTCAAACCAAGAGGTAATTATTTGTTCTGCATTAGACAACTTCGTTTGCCAACTGGTTACCTCGGCCTGGAAAAAGCCCACAAACTTGGAAGAAGCCATATTTTGTAATTGTGACTGATTTTCTTCCAAAGTTTCTACTAATTCTTCACTAGATTTGAGTAATTTGAGACCAGTACGTTCATGAATTTCATTTTGAAATTCCATGGTGGCCCAGGTATTTTGTAAATCTTTGAGCACCTTTTCCATGGCCATTTCTTTTACGGATTTATCTACAATATTCTTAACTTCCTCTTCATATTCATGGAGATTCAGGTCGATTAGATCTTTGAGTGTGGTAGAGTCATCCATACTAAATTTGACTTGTGTAGTGCGCATTAGTTCAAACCAATGACGATCCCGTATGGCGGGATTCTGCAATTCTGTTACAGCTCTTAGGGAAGTCATGAGATTTTTGAGAGAATTTTCCGTATGCAGATAAGGTTCCCAATTGCGCATATCCTTATCTAGAGCACGCAGTTCTTTGCCGAACTTCTTACATTCTTGATCCATGACTTCGATGTCTATCTTTTTCCAGGGAGTCTTTTTCCAATCCTCAATGGTGGAAGCTATGGTTATAAAGAAATCCCACATTATTTTACTGAGTTGTAAATCACGACGACAACGTTCAATTTTTGTGGCATCTGGCCCTTGCAATTCAAATAGTACAGCCGAACCGGTGAGAGAAGAATGACGAGCCTCAAGTTCGGATATTTCAACATCAGCCTCATCGATAAGCTCATAAACTTGAGGGCAGGGAACATGGAAGAACTGAAAATTGTAAAGACATAGAATAACTGTTTTAAAAGGACACCTTGGAAAGGTGAGCCACATACATTCTTCCTGAGAAACTTCTTGCGATATGTGGAAGCCATATTATCACACAATAGTATGCGCTTTTCTATCAGATCCACTTGATAAGATTGTATGGGAGCAATGATCTGTTTAACCGTGGCCGCTTGTTTCTTAACCTTAGTCCATTTATCCGGAAGTTCTGCCATCTAATAATATAACATTAATTAAATATTCCTATTGATTAAAATGTTATAGTTACCATAACCATTTCAGCATCACCAAACTCATAATTATAAGTCTTGAGCAAATCAACAATCTCCCTCAAAGGCTCAAACATATAATCATAAATAAATTGCTTTTCATTGATGGTATTCAAAACCGATAGAATTTGTATTAGACCATCAAAGTCATCTTTATTAAGTTCAATTTTCAAAGCAACATTTGCCTCCTCCACAAACTGGGCCAATTCCTATTTTTGGTTTAAGTGTTATAACAAGATTAGTCATTGTGTAAATGTAGACAAACACATCTACACACATACACACACACTAGTATTTACTCTACACCTACATACCTGGAGGGAATTTTTAACTCTATCAATGAGATCTTTTTTAAATAAGCTTATCCATTTGGCCACCAGATTGAGTACGGCATTTTTGAAACTCTTCTTATTCAAACGTAACCACACATTGAAATCTTGATATGTTTCCCATTGCCTTATTTGCTCTTCTAAGGCAATAAATTTATCCAACTGGAAAAATAAACAACACAACGATTGAGTAGCACCGTCATCGTCAATGACATGGACATGGACATGGAAAGGGGTGAAGTATGTAAGTATGTAGGAGCATACATGCATGGGAAAAATACACAAACATTCGAATAGAAATGGTGAATATAAAGAAACATGCAAAATGAGCATGAACATGAAAACATTGATTGATAGATTAGTGTTGCTTGGTAAATTTCAGTTTTATGTTTCTACACTTGGCAAAATAAATGGGTTAAGTGGGTAAAGGGTTGCAGAGTGAAGATGAAAGAAATTAACTTATTCAATGGGATTTTTTTAAATCTAATTCAGGTGGTTAATTTACCAAGGGTTGGAAGTATATTACGTATACGTATACATGGCTGTAATCTTTAATCTAATTATGTAATTAAATAAAAATTTTCTCTGTAAGAACTTTTTTCCTGCATTCTTTGACAGCTGAAAAGCGTTTGTTTATCGTGAAAAACTTATTATTTGCGTTGCCAGCATCTTTAGTTTGTGCCACGTCATAAACAACAACATTGGCGATGCCAACGGTGAACGGTATAGATCATTGATAAGTATTCATCGTATAATTTTTCACCGATACGAGACAGTGGAACATCTTTATAAATTTATTGATAACTTTTCTAAAAATGACGGCCAATGTCACTCCTTTTTGGAGTGTAATGACACCCAAATCTCTAAATCACTTCTCCAAATGCTTCAGCTTACCTGTTCCTTGTACAAACTCAACGGAGGATTGTTTTCATCTTTCAAAGGCTTAACACCCGACATACCCTCAGACTCCAGCTCAGCTTCTCGCTCAGCCAGTGTTAATGGTTTGCCAAATTTCTTAACCTCAAACAAATACTGTTGTCTATCCCACATCCATAAATAGGAGAATTCTAAGAAAGCTTTCGAATGTGTACGTATAGCCTGAAGAGCAAATTTAACTTTATTTAAAATATCATTGCGATGTTTGTGTATATCCGTTTTATCGGCTATCTCATCTCCAAAATCCGCACCATCTTGTCCCGGCAAAGGAGGATCTTGAGCACAGCGAGGCAAAAGTTCCATCATATGATACATATCCTCCAGTAACTTTTCCACATGACAAGTAAAACCTATTTTAGAAGTAGGATCCAGATTGGGAAAATAACACACATGAGGCTCTTGTAAATCCATGATAATTTCGAAAACTGGAGCATTATTTTCATAGCGATTTTCTATCTCCATGCGTAAATAAGTTAAACTGGTGATGACCGCATCCAATAGACATTGGGTAATTTCCTGATCTACATATTGTTCATAGTCTCGGAATAGTTCTCTTTCGCCAGCTGTTACCGTCTGTAGTAGCTCCCAACGTTGACGGGCTGTTACGAATTCCTCCACATCTTCTTCCTCTATATCTTCGTCAATATGTGGTATAATAGATGTTGCCGCAGGTAGTGTTGCAGTTGGGGGAGGTAACTCAATTTCCTCTTCTTCACCTTCCTCGCCTTCCAAGTCCTCTTTAAGCAATTCATAACGTCTGGGTATATCGAAAAACAATTTGGCATTTTCATATAAGAGTTTATCAATCAATGTTGCCGTTCTGCAAGCCTGTTCAACACGTTTGGTTAATATTACCATACGGGGTTCTGTCTCCAATAATGCTTTCAGCTGCTGATCTTTGCGCATATATAAGGGTATTTTGCCCCATGCATTAATGCTGCGTTTGATGGCGGTCACATTGGCTTGACATTTGACCAAACGTTTGTGTAGATATTCGATTTTATTGAAAACTTCCACAATAAAATTTTGATCTTTTTTAAGGGATACGATTAATTATTAATATACTTTTTTCTTAAAAAAAACTTACCAAAATTATTCCAGGTGACTTTACTAATCAAAGGCTCCATAAATAGTTCATATAACATTAATTCGGCCTGTATTAAAGCCTTTTCACTGGGCTTGGCTCTGTTGTTAATATCGTTATACCATTCGGAAATTCTTTCCAATTTTATGCGAGCCTCCTAAAAAATAAATAATTTGGGATATTTTTGATTGATCTAAAAGGATTTAAAGTTTATTTTACCCATAATTTTTCTTCTTTATCGAAGAATTCTTTTACTTCTTCGGGTATTTCAAAATTCATCATTAATATGTATTTGGTATCTTTTAAGGCATTTTTGAGACTTGTGTGGAAATTCACTGACAAAATATTGTCCTCTTTGGCAAGTAAATTCAACTCCATGCCTTGTTTTATATTCTTTTTCACTTCCACACGCCAATATTTTAAAATTTCTTGTCTTAATTCTTCAATTTGTTCATTCATTTCATCGTACAGGCCTAATGTATATTCGCCATGTTCATTTTCAAAGATTCTTAATGGGAAGAAAGAGAATAATGAGAGGAATTTATATAGATTTGTTCTAAAACTTACGGATAGTCATACAGTTCATGCTCTGTATGCATCCAAGTAATTCTGTGTTGTAGTTTAGCGAGCCATGTTAGAGCTCCCGATGTTGGAGGAAAACAGTTGTCTGTGGCTAAAGCCTAAAACAGCAAACAACAAAAAAACTAGTTCAAATAAAAAAAAAAAAAAAACTAGAAAACATATTGAAATTATATTTTTTACCAAACCACGAAAATCCATAAAACCCTATAAATCATCTTAAAAGCTTTTACAAACTTACACTCAATCCGCGCTCTCTATAAATTCCCTCAAACTCATTGAAATCGACCTTCACAGCATTGATTTCCTCAGCAAAATCATCTACTATAATATGCATAAATGGATCCATGTGCTCTTTAATAATGGGTCTCAATAGCAAAGTGCCACATAACATCAATTCATGAGAATCCTCGAGTGCCTTTTCAAATTGATAAGCTATTTTACGTTCTAAAACATTTGTCTTTTCCTTAAAAGCCAAACGATCTTCTGAGAAAGTTGAAAGTTGAGCATCAGGATCTAAAGGATTATATTGAATATTAGACCATTCTCTGTAGAAAGCATTATATTCTTCGAGAATTTTCTCCAAAGCTGCGGTAATCTGACGACCCTTTAAACCACCCACAGTTATTTTTTCCAATTTCATAAAATCTCTGCCTGTATCGAATAGTTCTTCCAAGGTATGTAAACGTTCTATGAATTTGTCAAAACGTGAAAAAATTTCCTCCGGATGCCAGGTCCAGTCTTGGGAATTAAATTCAGTGCCTACTTTGAATTTCTTGAGGGTATTGCGGGTCTCATTGTAAGTGGAACGATAGAATTCCAAATGGTTAATGTTAGTGGTGATCTTTTTATAGGCTTCATCTACATCTCCCTGAAAAATGGCATCGGCCTCTATAGTGCGCATGGCACATTCGATGAGGGTGTTGTGCAACAGCTGAAATAGCAAGACCATATTGTCCAGACTGTGAAAATATTTAGAGTGGCCCCAAACCAAACCCACTGTTATTAATAAAGGACGCAATTGACTGCGGTTTTCATCTAAGTCCCCAGTTTCAAATTTATCTATCATTTTGCGCTTTAAAGAGAAAAAAGTTAAGAAATCATCTAAAGTATTTTCTATTATATTGACCTACCAAAGGCGTTAAATATTTGGTTATATCCCTGGCTTCTGCCAAGGCCTCCAATACCAGCTCCACTATGCGTCTGTAACTACTCTCAAATACCGAACGTATTTTCTCCAAAACAAAACCTATAGTTTTTATACGTTTATCACCCAATTGATCGGCTAAGTTTTCCAAATTCTCCAAACGTGCATCCCAAAAGCTAAATAAATGCTCGGGTCTGGGAAATTCTTCTTTGGAGAAAATTTTGTCTCTCGATTTAATGTGTATCAAATCTTCCACCGAATCCAACCATTTAACCACCATAAATTCCAAAGAATGTTTCATCAAGTGATTAACTTTGCTTAAGTCCCTAAGGTAAAAAAAAAACTTATAGAGAAAGCTGTAAAATCTACAATCTTACGTTTCTTACCCTTGAGCTATAGCCGGTGCACTTTCCATAACCTCATCTATACAAATTGGCAAAGGCAAGATGGTGCGATTCATTACCAAACCCTTCATTTGAGCTATACCATTGCGCAAATCTTGAGATTCAGTTTTCATATCATTCACTATAACCGAGGTCCAGCCATTTTGATTTACGGGATTATTCAATAAAGGAAAAATGACATCATCACAGAGTACCGATAGATTTTCCAAAACATTAGGCAACAGATCTCCTATCATTAGGGCCTGTAAAACAATATTTCCTTAGAGAAACAAGTTTCTATAAATAGTGCTTAGAATTGTCTTACATTGGACATATTTTCTACCGTTAGGGTAGTAGGTACTTCATGTCGTACAAAGAACACCATTTTACTAATAGGCTTTTCGGGAAAGTTATAGGATGGTACCAAGAGCGCTGCTGAGTTAAGGGTGAATATAACTCTTTCCTGATACGATTCATTGAGAAATTCGTTGACAATTTCCTGAAAAGGAAATAGTTTTTAAAACTAAACTTATACCATAAATCACTTTTATGGCAAAGAGATCAATATTCTATATAATTTTTTATACCCTACACCACTATAGTGGATAGAGTATTATGCGTTTGTGCTGATGTTTGTAACATCCAAAAATATCGGTCCGACACCCACATTAAATTATACTAATCGGCTCAGAATCACTTCCTGAGTCGATTTAGCTATGCCCTTTCCTCTGTCTGCCGGTATGTCCGTCTGTGTGTCGGTATGTCCGTATGTATGTCGGTATGTCCGTCTGTGTGTCGCAATTTAATTTAATGAAATTTGGCACATACTCTTCTTTTGACGAAGCCTATTAAAAATGGTTAAAATTGATCCATTATTTCGCTTAGCCCCCATACAACCATATCCTCCGAACAGGGCTGTGTTGTTATTGCTTTCTTTAGTAAGCGATCACAAAAATCTAATTTTTTATCGAAATTTTCAGAGTTTGTCTCGGACTTTTACTCATCTCCCATATTTTTGTATACATGTGTGACAAAATTATTGAAGATTTGGATCTCGAAGATATCTGGGTCGATTTCAACTAATATACTGTTTGTATGAGAGATAGACAGACTTGAATCAATCGATTCCGCTATCTATAACGATCGCAATATATACACCTTATACGGTCTGAAAATTATATTGTAGAAATTACTAACGGAATGACAAACTTATATATACCTTTCTTACGAAGCTGTATGGTATAAAAAGGGGTTTTTGGTTGGAAATAAAAGTGATCACAGATTATCGTCTACTTATTATGTCCTAAAGTCTCTGGTTTCGCCATAAAGTGTGAAATAAAATTGATCACAGATTATAGGTCATTTTGCCCTAGAACACCTAGTTTCGCTATAAAATAGAGTTTTATATTGCCCTAGCCCTAGCTTTTCTGGTTTCTCTAAATGATGGACTTTATAGCAAAATAAAATATTGATTAAATTCAAAATGAAGGTCTAATTATAAAATATAAAAAGTTATTTCCACTGATATTAATATTCATGACCTGCAGAATATTTCCTGTATTTTCTTTAAAGAAAGGGTTAATTAAAAAATGTTTATGTTAACAAAGTTGTCACGATTTGTAGCTCAAAGTCATATTTTATGGCTTAAATATCCGTGTACATATTCTGGCCATTTTTAATTGTTGTTTAATGTTATGTAAACCCTTTAGCCAACAATTCTCATGAAAAAACAAAAATACCAAAAATAACATGTTAAATAAACGACAGAAAACCATTTAATACATTCATTTTATTTTATTGAAGTTTGTTTTTGTTTTGCTGTTGAGTGGGTGATAACTCTCTTACTTTGTAAATTAATGTCACATAATGGGAAATATTTTATAACAAGTAATAACAAAATTAAACAGAACAAAATAGCATTTTGTGTTGTTTGTGCACAATGACTGAATAAGTGGAAATATCAACCAATAAATGAATGAGTGTATTTGGCTTTCAGCAACAAAAACAAAAAAAAAGAAAAAAGCTGACATAACAGACGGTAATAAAGCATCACACCATTACCTTAATATCAAGGTCCTTCCGTTTGACCGAAGGACTCATACTAACAAAACCTTCAACAGTCAACCGAACAACCAACAATGCGTCGTCTGTCCATTTATTTAACAGATTTTGTGACGCATGTAAAATTTACGCAAAAACATTAAATATTTTGGTTGTTATAAGTATGAATTTTGTACTTTTTTTTCGTTTTACTATTTTTGAATATTATTTTGTTGGCATTATACATCCTCATACAACATGCTAAACATTTGTATGAAACTGGAACTGAAGTTAAGGGTCATAATAATGCCACCAAATACTTCATACATACATTCAATATGTATGTTTATTAGGGTGGATCCAGGGTGGTATGAAGTTGCAGTTAATTCTAAGGTACCATTTCTCAAATATTTTGTACTGACGTCAATATTTGGTCAGCTGGATAAATAAACCGGTCTTTTTTGAAGTTTAAATTATTTTTTTTAATATTTCTTATAAAAAATTGGTATCATACGAAAGGTAATCGAAAGGCTCTTTCGTTGAAAGACCTATTACAATATATCAAAATTGTATATCATTGCTTTGCGAAAAACAAGAAAAAAGTGGAAAATCCTTAAAAAAGGACTATTTTATCCTTTGACCCATCTCAAAATTTATTGACCACAGGACAAACATTTTTTAGAAATAATATTAAAGAATGAACCTAGCTTTAATTTTTGGGTATGTACCTTAGATTTTCTTCATACATACGGGCCACCCTAATGTACGCACATATGTACTATATAGATGTTATACAATAGAATCTGTATGTAGCATATTTGTGGAGTGGAAAATAATGAAAATGTTTGTAAATGTGTGTCTAGTGCAACATTTAGCTAATCCTTGTGGCCTTATTCCCCATACAAGAGGAGGTTATTTAGTATTTTACATAAACAGTGGTAAGGAAAAGTATTCGTATAGCTTAAAACTTGAGAAATTTTGTTAAACCAGAAAATTATTTGAAATTTGTTGTTTAAAAGCTTTCTATCAGACAAGTTTTGTAGAAAAAGCTTTCACAAAAAACTTTTGTAGAAAAAGCTTTCACAAATAAGTTGTCCATTGAGTAAGGTTTATGTTTACACAAAACTACTAAAACAGTCCTAAGAGATCTTTAGTTTATAAGCTTTTTCAAAACTTTTCTAAATCAAAAACTTTTCTGGAAAAATTTTCTGCGCATTTGAAAGTTTGACAAACATCTTCTTTTGAACAAAGTTTAACTGAAAAAGCTTTCAGTTTGGAAAAACATTTGGAATTCGTTGGCATTAATGTAGATGTGATAAACATACATATGCACACAGTATTCTACACATAAAATTTAAATATGTACACATACAAACAAACCCATATGAAAGTTGAATAAAATTTTGTGATTACGAATACACAACATAAAAAAACTAAACTAAAAATATGAATAAAGTACAACTACACCAACCAAACCCAACACCAATTTATACATAAATATTACAGGACGTGTGTGCAAAAAAAAAAAAAAACATATACATACATATAATATAAGCCTGTAACTAACTGCAGTGAGCAGGAAAATTAGAAAAACGCAACATTATCGCAATGCAATACATACAAAATCACTCAGTCATACACATTAATAAATATGTATGTAAAATTTGGCATTAGATCGTGGTTATGTAAGCAACAAAAGAAAAAAATAAAACAAAAACATTTAAAAAATTTTTACAATTTCTATTTAAAAAGTGGAAGAAAGCCACCATAACGAAAACAAAAACATCGACAATAACGAGAAAACAGAACAAAATGTTTACCATTTTAGTTACGAGAAAATCGCCAATTATGCATTTTACCCAGTAAATTTTACACAAGAATGAAAGTGTTACACATGTTGGTACATACATTTTTTTCTTGTTGTTGGAGTTAGTGCAACACACACTCAAATATGTACATAAAAACATACTACATAATGCATAAATACGATTTGTTATTTAGTTGGTTCCAAAACAGTATAATATAGCGCTCGAAAATTTTGCAAAGTTTGGCTTAGAAGCAAAAATATACATTCGACATTATTATGAAACCTTTTTAACCTAAAACATACACACTAATGTTGCAGCAACAACTATAACATCAATAATAACAACTTTAACATGAATAGCAACAATACGAACACTATTTAGTCGTTGGTGAGTAGGATGTGGATGTAGTTGACATAGAAACCGGTAGGAAATTTAGAAAAAAGGGATAATTTGCAATTAAAAAGAAAGACCAAACGCAAAAAGGATTGAACGGAAAGCGGCAAACACTCCTAGTTCAGGTCTAGTTCATTTCTAGTTCAGTTCTAGTTCAGTTCTAGTTCAGTTCTAGTTCAGTTCTAGTTCAGTTCTAGTTCAGTTCTAGTTCAGTTCTAGTTCAGTTCTAGTTCAGTTCTAGTTCAGTTCTAGTTCAGTTCTAGTTCAGTTCTAGTTCAGTTCTAGTTCAGTTCTAGTTCAGTTCTAGTTCAGTTCTAGTTCAGTTCTAGTTCAGTTCTAGTTCAGTTCTAGTTCAGTTCTAGTTCAGTTCTAGTTCAGTTCTAGTTCAGTTCTAGTTCAGTTCTAGTTCAGTTCTAGTTCAGTTCTAGTTCAGTTCTAGTTCAGTTCTAGTTCAGTTCTAGTTCAGTTCTAGTTCAGTTCTAGTTCAGTTCTAGTTCAGTTCTAGTTCAGTTCTAGTCAGTTCTAGTTCAGTTCTAGTTCAGTTCTAGTTCAGTTCTAGTTCAGTTCTAGTTCAGTTCTAGTTCAGTTCTAGTTCAGTTCTAGTTCAGTTCTAGTTCAGTTCTAGTTCAGTTCTAGTTCAGTTCTAGTTCAGTTCTAGTTCAGTTCTAGTTCAGTTCTAGTTCAGTTCTAGTTCAGTTCTAGTTCAGTTCTAGTTCAGTTCTAGTTCAGTTCTAGTTCAGTTCTAGTTCAGTTCTAGTTCAGTTCTAGTTCAGTTCTAGTTCAGTTCTAGTTCAGTTCTAGTTCAGTTCTAGTTCAGTTCTAGTTCAGTTCTAGTTCAGTTCTAGTTCAGTTCTAGTTCAGTTCTAGTTCAGTTCTAGTTCAGTTCTAGTTCAGTTCTAGTTCAGTTCTAGTTCAGTTCTAGTTCAGTTCTAGTTCAGTTCTAGTTCAGTTCTAGTTCAGTTCTAGTTCAGTTCTAGTTCAGTTCTAGTTCAGTTCTAGTTCAGTTCTAGTTCAGTTCTAGTTCAGTTCTAGTTCAGTTCTAGTTCAGTTCTAGTTCAGTTCTAGTTCAGTTCTAGTTCAGTTCTAGTTCAGTTCTAGTTCAGTTCTAGTTCAGTTCTAGTTCAGTTCTAGTTCAGTTCTAGTTCAGTTCTAGTTCAGTTCTAGTTCAGTTCTAGTTCAGTTCTAGTTCAGTTCTAGTTCAGTTCTAGTTCAGTTCCTAGTTCAGTTCTAGTTCAGTTCTAGTTCAGTTCTAGTTCAG